CGGATGGGTGCTTTTTATTTAACTTCTTTTGGACTGATGCATGCAACACCCGCTGAGTGGCATTAAACAGCTTGAAAGAGCATAGACAATTTTTAATATAACTCCGACTGGATTCGTCTGAAAGAAGAAAGGCATACACCTAGGATGGCTCTGGGGTGAGTAAAACAACAGCCTAATTTTCATTTTTGGGTGAACTAACCCTTTAATGCATCAGCTAATGTTAACTAATAGAACCTTATAAAGTATTACCATTTTATCAGCAGGATGTTTGTTAGTAGATACTCATTTATACTGGTTGAGGCAATTTCACCACTAGTTATGAATTAAAAATAGTAATTGAATTGAAAAATGTAATTGTTGTTTCAACATCGAAACAACATTTCATGCTAAACAGTTGTAAAAAGTTTACCAAATACTTATAAATTGTAATTTTAACAGGACAAGTAAGATGTTGAAACATCATCATAATATCCAATATTTAAAAGAGTGATTCAACCTTGATAAATTACAATTATTAACTCATGAATAAACGTTAAAATTCTGGCTGTCCTAGAATGTTATTTTCCTGACACAGTTTCCTGAGATTGTTCATTATTCCTGTCATGCTAATTAATTCATCGTAAAAGAAAACAATTATTCGGTTATGTTAAAGTAATATTAATCAGTATTAAAGCAGTAGTATTTCTTTTAGGTGTGCTTTTTGTCAATAAAGCTGGTTAATGTCTTTTGGCATTGTCTCTGAAGACTTGTCAACACCAATATTGTGAGCAAGTATATTGACCTGAGTATTTCGCCAAAAGATGGCAGATAGATTTGCAGTAGTAGTACTTCATATGAAAAGAAAATCTAAAATCAATCGGCTCTGGTTTCTGCTGTGTTTTGAAGTGATGTGTGCTATCAGATTCCTGCTGGAACAGCAAATGGCTCAATTTTAAGGTTACCTGTAATGTGCACCACAGCACAAACTACAGCATAAAAAAAACACAATCAAATATATGAAATCTCTATACACTCTCAAAAAAAAAAAGGTACAAAAGTTGTCTCTGGGGCGGGCGGTACCTTTTCAAAAGGCACACCTTTGTACCTAAAGAGTCCATATTGGTACCTTAAAGGTACATATTAGTACCTAAAAGGTACAAAAGTGTACCTTTTGAAAAGGTACCTCCCCAGTGACAGCTTTTGTACCTTTTTTTCTGACAGTGTACAGTAGGAAACAAGATAGTAAAAAAAAAAATCATGCAAGTAAAAATATTCCCACGTTTGTCATGTAATTATTTAAGTGTTAAATTGTCTTCTCAGCTTGTGAATGTCCAGTTAATCAAACTTTATTTGAGCCTGGTGCTCAGGGCCTCTTCTTAGCCAGATTGAACTTGAATTACAGACAGCTTGATGCACATGAGTCCCTTCATCTTAAACGACAGGCCATTTACATTGTGCTCAGGGTGATCAATCATGTCAGTTAGGAGGTGCTGAGCGGCTCAGTACAACGACCTGACCTGAGCTGATTGCTAACCCTCCTAACCAGCAGGGACAGCCGGCTATGGCTGAGGTCAGGCCAGGGTGGGAAAGATGCAGGAAAGGAAACCAATAGTGATGTTTGGTGCTACAATATATTTCTGTCTCACTGCCATTTGTGTCAAAGCTTTGTTTAAAGGAAAACATAGAGGTTTTGTCTTTAGAATAGTCAAAAAAGGAAGGTTTAGTATGCTGTTTAAGGGTAAATCCCTTTTTAAAAAAAACTTGTGTGGATTACCCAAAATCAAAAGTAAATTCATTGTATCTAGATAGAATTGCCGTATTAGATTAATATGTATTATAATGTTTTTATTTATTTATTTATTTTTATTTTATAACATGAAATTTAATTTATTTATATAGCTCTTTATACAATACGGGTTGTTTCAAATCAGTTTCACCACAGGAAAATAGCAGTGTTAATGTTGTAAAATTAATCAATTCTTCATTTTTTAGCTGTATTGGAGCTCTACAGAAGATTATAGTGTCATTATTCAGCTCAATCATTTGGCATTATTCAGTTCAATAACAGTGTCGATGTTGTGAAGTTAGTGTCATTTTCCAGCTCAATGCAGTTCAAATTTTGTTCTCATCCAGTAAAGTTAAATTGATAATATTACTGAATATTAATTCTTTTAAACTGAGCAAGTCAAATTGGCTGTAATTAAATAATCACAGTGTGTAATTAAAGTATTAAAATGAGAAAGTGTTGAAAGCGAAGAACTGTTGCCTTAGCAACTAACTGAAATAAGTTGAATTACTAAAGTGCTAAAACTGAAATAGATAAAAACCAAAGATAAATATTTAAAACAATAAAATGACAAAAGTATATGACAAGATCACTAAAACTTAAACGAAAATTTAAATATAAATGTAAAAGATAGATCAATCAAAGTATTAATAAATACTATAATAGTATATATAAATAATATTAAAATAACACTACAGTACACAGAAACTCTTTTCATGGAGATCAACTTAAAAATGGCTTTACTTATAGTTGTCTCTGCATATTAAACTGAGCTATTTTATCTTACTTTATAATTAGAAATTGTATTACAGTATTTTTGAAAGTTGACTTTTGAAATTTGAATGTTATTACAGTATTGAGAATTTGAGTGGAAGTGTGTGTAATTGTCATGAAAATAGTGTAACAATGCAAAAAAAAAAAAAAAACTCGTACAATAGTTTTATTTTTTTTTATGCAAAATAAAAAAAAAATTCTTCATTTGGTTTGAAGATGAAATATGGCCCAGACATTTCTTTTTGAGATTTATAAATGCAATGTGTTTCCCTTGACATTTTGTCTCTTTTCCCCTGAAGCAAGGCATGAGCAGTCAAAACAAAGCGGAACGAAAAACCTCTCACATTACCCCGAGTGAACTTCAGCAATCAAAAAGCTGTTTTTGCAAAAAGAGCATCTTTGCTGACTATTTTAATGCAAGAAAAATGGATTCAAAACGCCTTGAGGCTTGTACCCTGCTCCGAGTGTGCTAATTATGCTCTTGTCATAAAATATTCAAGGCTCATCCTTATATGAAATTGAAATTACTGTTAAAACTAATTAGCACATTAACCATTGCCAACCCGAAACCATCTGTACTGCTTGTAACTCTATGATGTTTTCTGATGCTGGAACCTGATAAATGCTGTGGTCAATTCTCAATTCTCTGCTCATGGTGAAATTGGGAGAGCTGTCATGATGTCACTTCCCCTCCCCCCACACTAACAGGATACTGTCCCTGCATCTAGTGAATTAACATCTCATTTCATAAACACTGATCCTCTTAGTGGAGATCAGACGAATGGTGTAACTGCTCTCCTTCAGATTTATTCACACTGATAGCAGCTTTAAAAGTCAATTCTTCCAATACTTGGACAAAAACATGCTATTGATTGAAATATTAATAAATACTACAATATTATATAATACTAAAATAACACGGCATAGGGTTGCAGTTCTTGGGGATCAATTTACAAATGGCTTTACTCACAGTTGTCTCTGCAGATTAAACTGAGCTAAGAGAAAGTATTTTAACACAAAAATGACTTGTCAGCTTTAAGAGGAACTACCATAAAAGAGATGATATGCATCTCTGAATTCTACGTGTGGAATAACCTGGTTATGCATGTACGGTGTGCTGAGCGCTGAATGTGTGTGATATTGGTGGGTGTGTTGAACACCCTCAGTGGGAGGCTAATTAAATGGATGGCCTCAGACTGAATTTCAGAACTGTTACGCTGAGTCTGCTAATGTGTGATCTTCACAATGTTGTTTTGGGCAGACTGTCATTTCAGCTCTTCTGTTTCTACAATTGGGATTTATATCAAACCATAGTATCATACAAGACTATTGTTATAGTCCATTTCCATTTTCCAACTTGATTGAATGCTGGGTTGTTGTGGTGTGATTGCAAAGCCATTGTTATGTGGTTACTAAGGTGTTCTGAGTCATTTTTAGCATAGATTTGCAATGGTTTCTGAATGGTTGCTAAGTAAAAGCGAATATTCCTAACCCCTAAGTACGGGAAATAAAATATAGTTTTCCCCTAAAAATATCAAAATCTAACAAGATTTACTCTTTACGTGACAATTTATGTGAGAAGAAATTGCATTAGAGGGTATTTAATAAAGAATAATAGTACTACGATTTTGAAATACAATTTTTTGGAAGAAAGAAAAATTGTGCCATTCAAATAAAAATAATTTCAAATAATTTCTTTTGAAATGTCTATAATCCTGAAATGTATAATGGTTTCCACAAAAATATTAAACAGCACATGTGTTTCCGACATTGATAATAATAAGAAATGTTTCTTGAGCAGCAAATCAGCATATTAAAATGATTTCTGACGGATCATGTGACACTGAAGACTGGAGTAATGATGCTGAAAATTCAGCTTTGCATCACAGGAATAAATTGCATTTGAAAAAATATTCAATTAGATCAGTGGTTCTCAACTGGTTTGGCCATGGGACCCACATTTTCCCATGGTCATCAAGCCGCGACCCACTTTTTGGGGATATATATAGTGTGTATATATATATATATATGCTTTAAATATATATACATTTGATTTGAAAAAAAAAACGAATTTATTTCACAAAAATTGTTGACACACACACAAGTAAGCGTCCCTTTATTTAACATACACACAAAATGTAAGAATATGACTAATACTGATGAATAAACAGCCTATAAGGTAGCAGTCCCAAACTAGTTTTTGTTAATACAATTAAGTTGGTATGAGCCACCACAGTCGTTTAAACATATACAAAATAACACAAAGTGAAAATAACATGGCATTTTTGGGTTATGGAAACAACAGTTACCATGGTGAATACACAATACTAACATGAGCTGATAATGAAACATGGAAACTGCTCCTGAATAAAAGGAATATCATACCTTCCTGCAGATCCATCCCAGATAACACACAAAGTACCAGTTATGTGGTTTATTGGTATTTACTTTTATTTCACAGGTTGCATGCTGGAAGTTTCATTTGCGCTTTAGTGAAGTGATAAACAGTGTGAGCGTGAAGAGTGCGCACTACGAGCACAGTGTAACGTCTGACAGGACAGGAGAGTTTGTTTTTCTGAGGTGAGAGACTTTTTATTTTGTAAGTTGTGAAAATAACGATAGAGTAATGAGACTGACATTAAGCCTGACAACATCTCGTCTGACCGCAGTGCATTTTTCTCAGGCACTCTTTCCTTAAACTGCATCTGACAGAAGTGTCAACAGCTTTCAAGCACGTCTTTCAAAAAAAAAGCCTTGCATCAGAAAAACATTTAGAATTACGTTTTTTGTTGTTGATGTTTCTTTGACTGTACACTCCACTCAGAACCCACCAGTCGAAACACTGAATTAGAAAAGTTATTTTAAATTCAAATAATATTTCACGATATTACAGTTTTACTGTATTTTTGATTTAATAAATGTGGCCTTGGTGAGAACTGAAAGAAAAGATGTTTTTCAAAAACAATAAAAATTGAACTGAATTGACCAACTGAATGGTAGTATACATAATAATAATAATAATAATATATTTCTTAAAATACTAATCTCAGGCACTCTTTCCTTAAACTGCATCTGACAGAAGTGTCAACAGCTTTCAAGCACGTCTTTCAAAAAAAAAGCCTTGCATCAGAAAAACATTTAGAATTACGTTTTTTGTTGTTGATGTTTCTTTGACTGTACACTCCACTCAGAACCCACCAGTCGAAACACTGAATTAGAAAAGTTATTTTAAATTCAAATAATATTTCACGATATTACAGTTTTACTGTATTTTTGATTTAATAAATGTGGCCTTGGTGAGAACTGAAAGAAAAGATGTTTTTCAAAAACAATAAAAATTGAACTGAATTGACCAACTGAATGGTAGTATACATAATAATAATAATAATAATAATATATTTCTTAAAATTCTAATAAATAAAAATAAATGTAATTCAGAAGATACTTTTTGAAATAAATCCTAATGTCTGGCACTTTTTTGTTTCTCAAATCTTTTCTAATAATTAAAAAAAAATTACTGGAAAATTTGATTAAAATTCTGCTTAACAAAATTAGTTTGCCTTAAAGGGATAGTTCACCCAAAAATGAAAATTTGATGTTTATCTGCTTACCCCCAGGGCATCCAAGATGTAGGTGACTTTGTTTCTTCAGTAGAACGCAAGAAACTGAACTGTATTTATATCGTTTTTTACCTCTGATTCACTGCAATGTCTGAACTGTCCTGAGCGCGTTCTCAACAGTAGTGTTGGGTCGTTCTTGAACGATTCGTTAATTTTTGCGCAACATCCTATAGGTTCTGTACTGGAATTAGTCAAGTAGTTCACCTGTTTCGAGTCTTCGGGTTTTCCGAGTCGTTCGTCATCACGTGACAGCCCCATAAGCTTTAACCAATGCAGTCTAAGCCGGAAAGAGAATTGATTAGTTCATCTCTCGAGTCTTCGGGTTT